CCTACCTACCCCCCAACCTTCCTTACTCCTGTATGTCCTGTAAAGTGGACGGAGGAAGACAATTGTGCTTCTCCTGCAGAGAAGCAAGCAGAGGGCTATAAAAGAGAGAGCTTGAAGTCTCTCCATGGGATGGAAGAGACCTGGCACCAAGTGGGGGTACAGCCAGGGAACTATTTTTCTGAAAATATTCCCATCTACCATATTTGCATGTTGCCCTCACAGGAACCATTTATTCATAGAAAATTTAATTTCCTTTTTTTTAGAGATATTTTTGCTATAGAGTGTGTGTGTTCACTGGAGAGACAGAGAGACAGAAAGTGAAAAATCACTGCAGGGGGTATGGCCATGCTGCAATCTCCTCCATTCTCCTCTCAGGATTTTGGGCATGAATGCACATACGCTCGGCATGAGTTTTAAGCTGCCAGGGATCAGGGACTCAAATGTGGTCAACAACGTGGGTTTCCAGAGACATGACCATTGTGCCACTTGCATAATGGTTAATTTCCTTTTAATAGATGGAAAAACCGAGACACAAAAGCAACACTCTTGTTCACTCACTGAGCAAGGTAGTGTCAGATGGAGATTGTGAACATTTTCTTGACAAATAGCCCATACCTGGGGCTTATAGCTTTGGGAGTTCAGTTGTGCTTTTTGCTTCAAAGACAAGCTCTCTTATCCATGCAAACCATGACTGTGTGGGGGGCATTTGAAAGGAAGGAAATGGGCAAAGTGCTCTCCCCTGCCTGGCCTTCTCCCTGGAACCTGCTGGATCTGTGAAGAAAGGAAAATTCAGGACACCCTGTGTGGCTGGTTGCTCTGGGGGCCCAAGAGCCATTTTTATTCCCTGATAAGGCCTACGCCTCCCCATCAACTGGGCCCACGGCAGGTGCCTTTGCTCTCTCGTAGAATGTCTACTACCACCTGACTGGGGAGTTCTATGTGGGGCCACTGGTTGCAGAGGCAACTGCTGCTGACCACTGCCTGACGGACCCTGGCAGTGGCGAGAAGCCCACGCTAGAGCCATGTTCCGAGGCAGCCAGAAAAGGACTGCACATACACTGGGATTTTAAACAGGTGAGTTGTGTGGGTTTAATATAGAACAAGAGGTTCTTATTGGATTCCACCATGTTTTAGAAATCAATTTTTGTAGCAGCATGTAGCAAGACTACAAACAGAAAACTGAGTATGAAGCAGTGAGTCTCTGGACCAAGGGAGGGGTGCATAAGAAGAGAAATTGGAGTCTGCTAGAGCTAACAGGTGAGAGTTTGAGCTCAAATTCTAGCTCAGTCACTTTTGTAGGTTCCTTACCCTTTCTGAAGCTCAATCTCTTTATTTATACAATGGAGATAATGATACTTACCTTCTGGGCCTGTTGGGAGGCTTAAATGCGATGGTGTGTGTAAAGCATTTAGCATGAAGACTGGCATGAAGGAGTGCTAAATACCTATAGCCATTGTGCCATTGTGATTAGTTTTATTACTAATGTTTATCAGAGATCCTGGGATGCTGGATTTAATTTGATGGAAACCTTGCCTTTAAAGTCAACATAAAATGACTAAGAACAGGATGGAGTGAATCAGGCAGAATTCACATGACGAGGACATGGGGGACTTTTCTGAACTCAGCCTACATGCTTATTTACCATGTGATAGGCTGCTTCAAGCATTTGTGCATGTTTAGGCCACTTTGGTGAGAATGTGCTGTCCTGGTAGGGGCGGTGGTGTGCTGTCTGTGACCGTGTCTCTGAATACACGTATATTGTGTTAGAGTCGGGTGCCATATCTTTCGTCAGATAAGGGATTGATAACCAGAATGCACATGGAACTCAAGCAGGTGTTCCGAAAAAAGATGATCAACCCTATTAAAAGATGGGAGAGTGAGTTGAAAAAACCTCTCTCTAATGATGACATTCGAATAGCCAAAAGGCATATGAAAAAATGCTCAACATCCCTCATTGTAAGGGAAATGCAGATCAAAACAACAAGGAGATACCACCTAACCCCAGTCAGAATGACTAAGACTAAGAAAACAAAAAATGATAAGTGCTGGTGTGGGGTGTGGTGAAAGGGGAACTCTCTTACACTGCTGGTGGGAATGTAAATTGGTCCAGCCACTGTGAAGAACAATTTGGAGATTTCTCAAAAATTTACAAATATATCTGCCATATTATCCAGCAATCCCACTCTTTGGTATCTACTCAAAGGATAGAAGAATTGTGAATCGAAAAAGTGCTTGCACATTGATGTTTATTGTAGCACTATTCACAATTGCTAAGACATCGAACCAACCCAAATGTCCACGAACAGATGAATGGATTGAAAAACTGTGGCACATATACTCTATGGAATACTATTCAGCCATAAAAAACAACAAAACCTTGGCTTTTGACAGAAAGTGGAAGCCTATGGTAGATCTACTTCTGGATGAAGCAAGCCCCCTTGGCTTTTGACAGAAAGTGGAAGCCTATGATAGATCTGCTTCTGGATGAAGCAAGCCCGGCTATGAAGGGAGAGACATTGTATGTCCCCACTTAATATATACCGAGTGTCCGCATTCTATGACTGAAACTGATTGACTAAAGGATATAGAAACACAGTAAATGGATGTAAATACCAGATATAGTGTGTGTGAAAGAGTAGAGTCTGAGGAAGGACATTTAGAAGAAAAATAGAGAGGCAAAGCATTAATGGGACAAAGAATTGTGATATTATCAGTTGAAGATACTTTTATAGTTTTACTAACTGGACTATGGAGACATGTTCTCATGTTGAAATACTCAGTTTGTAAGTTAAATAATGTGATTGAATGTAAAAGAGAAAATGAAGTTAAAAAAAAGAGAGAGAGACATGGGTTGATTGAATGTAAAAGAGAAAATGAAGTAAAAGAAAAAAAAGAGAGAGAGACATGGGCGATGTGGCTCAGCAAGTCCTAGCTTTTAAGCTAATGACTCCCTTGAGAATTGCAGCGAGCTGTGAACTCTCTCCAGGAAGACATACATAGCCACATACAAATAAAACTTTGCCTACTATTTCAGAGGGTTTTTGCATCCCAATCAAGTCTCCCTGAACTAGACAATATCAGTCAGAAGTAGGAGGAGAGAAGGGGCCTGCAGGTGGCATGGTGGTATGGACACTGGACTCCCACATGGTCAATTGAGTTTTGGGTCTTGGATCTGGTGGCTTGCTTTCTCACTCCCGCACCCCGCCCCCACCTCTCCTCTGGTCAAATTAAAACAAATAAAAATAAATACAATGAAATAATTCTTAAAAATAATAAGAGAAAAGGAGAAGGAGGGTAAGACCACAGGCTTTTTGCTGGTGTTACTCCCTCTCCTCCCAACTCTTGTATGCCCACTATACAGAGTTTAGAGCTCTTCTGACCTTATGCATGATCCCCTTTTGAAAGCTCTAATGGCCCTGCAGGGGCAGAAGGGATGGTTCTTCTAAATGCTCTCAGGGTACCTTTGTCTCATCTGTTCCTTTTCATCATGAAGCTGTGAGCCTTGCTTGTTGGTCTCTCTGTGGCATCTGCCACAACACCCAGGACATTGTGGGCACTCAATTTGTAATTGCAGAACAAGTGAAGGATTGGTGGACCTAGAGGTATTAACCTGGGGAGGCGAATCTAGAGGAAAAGTCGGGAGGTAGCCTTGCTCAGCATCACAGGAAGGCAGGATGGAGTCCAGTGGTTGGAGAGGAAGGGGGCAGTTTTTGACTTAAACTAAGGATCAGAAGAGGATTTTCTTTTTCTTTTATTTCATAATTTCTTATTTACGTTTAATTGTTGTACATCTTTGTGGGGTGCAATATGGCTTTAAAAACATGCATGCAGTGTGTGATAATCAAATCCAGCACATTACCAAATCTGGGGGAGGACTTCTAAGAGCACAACAGCTTTTGCTTCCTTCAAAGGAGCGCCTGCCTGGGGAAAGCACTGTCACAGTGGTCCCCACGTGGGGCATCCGCAGGCCCAGAGTGTTGGCTGAGTCAGTGAGGTCCAACATGCTGTTTTCTGTGTGCAGAAAATACCATTACAGGTTTTCTTTGTTTTTAAACAAGTTAACATTCACTTTATTAGAATTTAGAAATTGAAGAATTCTGATTTTTCTTTATACTGCTACATTCAGCTTACAAATCTCATTATTTTATCTGTAAGCTTGTCAAGTTTTAACAAATTAAATCCCCTTGAACATTGTCGACTGTCTTTATAGATTTAGTACATTATATTTCTGTTCCTAGGAGCTTTGATGATCTGACTTTGAATTTAACGATTCATAGACTCCCTTAAATGCTTCAAAAGTGTTTACAAGTTCTGTAAAATTTCACTTTGAAATCACAAATTTAAAAATTCAATTACATATTTTAAAATTGGCATCATAAAGTTAATTTGTAAGATGTTAATTTTTTCTTAAATGTAGCAAAAATCCGAAAATAGTAACTATATACAGGATATTTAGCAAATATTGTGTTTGATTCCTTTAACATCTGTTAAGTAGATTAAATCTCCTGGGAATTAAACATACTCCTTATCCTAAAGAGATAATTATGCTTCCCAAACTTTTAAATTATTATTTTAAAAATATTTTCTTTGCCATAGGGACATAGAGACAGG